AATCTATCATGAGTTTTGTCACTGATGTTGTTTTTCCCTTATGCTTCAGGGGAGGCCTCAGAATGTTGCTGTTTTTCTGTAGAGCTTTCAGTATAAAAGAATGCATTGGCAAAATAATGTAAGCTAAAACCAACCACTGTAGAAGTTGATGCTGATCTGAACCAAAAGAAGTCCTACTCGTGGCTTCAGTCCAAAAATATTTAGCAGTGACAAACTGAAGGCATTCATACCTGATGGCTGAAGGTAGTACATATCTCTGGAGCTAGTTATAAAGAAGGAGAAATCCCATTTTGAATTTGTCATGTGATACTGAGAAGAGATAACAGAAACTTTTCTTCAGGAAAGATATGCCGCCGAGATTCAGAAAGAGTTATTGATCCTATTTCAAAATGTGAAACCAGGGAAGACCAGTTTTTAATTTTGGAAACAAAATACAGATTTTTCACTGTTACACTGCTGTCCGGGTCAGCACTACATTGGCTTTTTTGTTTAGTGAGGCATGTTGTCTAGCCATATGGAAAAAAGTTGGATAGAAGCTCAAAGGACATGTAATTGTTTTTCTTCATTTGGTTGCTGAGTTGGAAACCTGAGAGAAGGAATGTTCTTAGCCTAATAAAACCAAGTAAATATCTTTTCTTTTTCTTAGCAGAATAAAAATGTATAAATGCATTGTTAAATACTTGAACAAAAGCAGAACACGGGGAATGAAAGGTTGGCTGTGGTAGCATCTGTTTTCATCAGCAGTTCAGTGGTTAGCTACCTGGGACAACCCAGGTTTTCTTCTTTGACTGAATGTTTTTTGAACACAGTTCCCTCTTGGGTGTTCTGTCAGGATGTAGTGAGTATGTTGCCTGCTCTCTCTTCTCCAGAGCTTTTTTCCCCTTTATGGAACATGGTTCAAAAAGTCACTGATGCAAATGTATAGTGAAGGAACAACTGTCTTCCTAAGTAAGTTGGCTGTAACAGAGGACAAGTGTTACTGTGTCCTATTCTTGCTTACTAAAGGTGTAAATGTGAATGCATATCACTGGTGGAGGTTGAGCTTATGCCAGAATACTCTGCTGCGTAGTAATTGCCATCTTCTCGTATGAGGCAGGAGAAGTGGGTTTCCATCCCCTCTGGCAAAGGGGAGATTTGGATGCAAGACTCTGAGCATACACACAAGATGTAAAACTGATCTATTCTGAAAAGATTTCCAGAAAACAGTTTTTGATAGTTTAGCCCAAATTCATGACTTGTTTCTGTGTTGCTGAACTACCATGTTAGCAAAGATAAATTTATCTAGGAAGAAAGGACATGGAAGGAGCAGTGGTTGCTGTAGCTTGGTGGAACTCTTGCAGGAGAAGGTCTTTCGGAAAGAGAAGCAGACATTTCACTTGAGAAGATTGACTGAGGCAGTCTGAAACAGCATCATCCACAGCTGCTTTGTATTTCATGAGCAGGTTAGAGAGTCCTTCGTGGTGAACAGAGGCTAGAGAGAGCATTGAGACGTGACCTCTGATTCCTGTAGGGTGGTCACCACTTGGCTCTGTCACAGTAGTCTGCGTGCTGGGAAGCAGACAGAAGCTTGGTTGTAAAGTATGCAGTCTGGTGGGTGTATTACGTTAAAGCTTTGCTTGGCTTAGGATCGGGATGCCAGTGTGACAAGTACACTATATTAAGTTCTCTATGTTGAATTTCTAAAGCTCTGTTTTTCATATGCGTATACAAAGATGTGAAAACATAGCTATTTTGCACTACTCTCTTGCTCAAAATTTGAGCTGCTAATAGGGCAGCTAGAAGCAGGATAAAGCAAGCACATCTGTTTTAGCTCCAGAATGAATGTTCTGGTATGCTGAAGCACAGAGAATTTCAAAGCACAGCAGTATGTGCAAGTGGAAGGTCTTGAAAACACTAGCAAACTTTCAACTTTTCTGTCATTTCCCAAGGAGATTGGTTTTATTAAAATCCTGTAAATCATGTGTAGTGGCAGAAGTACTGTTTGGTTAAATGTTTAGTGGGAAGTGCTTGGAGTAAGTGTATTTAATGCTTTTAATAAACATGTTTTACATTATTTGAAACTAATTTTGAAGACCAGAAAATTTTCATATTTGTCAAGCAAAATCTATTCTAGCCCAACGGAAATTCAGTTATCTTTTCTTATTTGAACGTGTTTCCGAGTCTGCTTTACGAACTTCTGTGTCATTTGGGAAGATGATCTTTTATCTTCAGGACATGTTGAGTATGTATTTTAAGTAATAGTCTGATCTTCCAAAAATGTGGTCATGCAAGCTGTTTTATGGAAAGGAAACCAGATCACAAAAAGAAACAGAAAATGGTAATCAAACTTGTCGTCATAACCACACGTACAAAACGCCCAGTTCTTCAGATATGCTAAGCACCTTTACTGCTTTCACTGGAATCTGTACATAGTTAATTTTCCATCAGTTCTTATGTTGTTGTTTTAATACACTAAGCAGAAAGGTAGTAGTATCTTCCACTTCATGCTGTCATTTTTCTGCTGCAACCATTGGGTATATCATGTAGAAGTTACTTGCGTGTTGTACTAATTGCTTTTTTTTTCCCAAGATTTGTGTTGGATGATTTGTTTTTAAATAGTCCTGCTAGCTTCTGTTAGTATCCAGGCTTTTCTTCTGCTGGTTGAGACTGATTGCTATTTGATGATACTATTTTTCTATTTTATTTGGGGTTTTTTTTGTTGTTGCAGAAATTGCTTTATCTAATACCTAGAATCTTTCAGGGATACCTGATTTTAAAATCTGACATTCTGGTAGATCTGAAGCCCTTTGCAGCTGAATGTTAGTCCTCAGCAGATTATTGCATGCTTTTTTGAAAGTTGAGTGATGCCAGTTATAGAGGCAGCTGCCAATTTATTCAATGATGGTCTTTAATGTGAACATCTGTACTGCATGCGATTTCAGATCCCTAAGTTCAGGGCATACTTAAGGTATGGTATCCTTTCAAGTCATAGTGGAAGAAAACTTTTCCTGCCACCAAGAGTGAAAAGAACTATAACCAGTTGATGCAGTCAGTAAGATTGTCAGCATATTTAAAAAAAAAAAAAAAAGCAATAATTCCATATTTTCCACTTCAGAAGTTCTCTTAATTCAGAATGTCATTAACTATTTGTGTATCTAGTAAGGTGTTCCTCTGTTTATATATGCTCATCATTGATTCTCTTGTAATTTTTGCTCTTTTTAAAAACTTCATTCTCAAAAGTACCAAGTCAAATTATTTCATACTTTCCACTTGAACTTACTTAATTTTGTAACACAGACTTGACTTTTGAAGGCCAAAGTACATACAGATGGATGCACAGTTGTACATTTATACACTGTAATCAATTTCTTAAAAGGCATTGGGGAGTCAAATTTTTTCTATAACTGTTCAGCTTTTTTGAAATCAAGTAGTTCTCTGTTGTTTAAAAATACTATTTGAGCTTCTTTCTTTTCACATTCCATCTTCAATGAAAGGAACACAATACAGGCTGTACAGCTCTAAATACATTTTACACAGGCCAGTTACTTTTGTCAGAAAACCAAATCAGATGTTGTCTAAAAAGCGAACTTACTAGTGTTTGTAGACTGAATTTGGAATAATAGACATCTGTTTTGAAGATAACATGATCCTTTTGTAATTGTTTTTCTTTCTTTATTTAATGATGTCGCAAATACCCAGGATCATTCTGTGGTATTTGTGGTTGGCTTTTTTCTTGTATTTTCCATGGTTTTCATGCTGGCTTTGATAGCAAACACACCTTGTATTATTTTTTTTGAATATGAGTTGTTATGAGTCCCATTTTAGGGTGGGTTTTCTTAGGCGAAACTATACTCCCATGTTAAACAAGTTCTCCTTATTCTGCGTCTCTTTACCTATGTGTGAAGAGATTGAAAAGTTTAACAGCAGCAGCTGTTGGTATTTCAAAATATCTATAATTTGATTTATCATACACAATATTGATGGGTGGTTTTTTTTTTTAGTACAGGTAAATATTAATGTTCTATCTTTAAGTAATAAAATCTTCCATCTCAAAATTACTCCTACTCTATGACATTAAAACTTTTAAACTTTTTTGGTTACAGTTTTGAGGATATTCTGTGCCTTGCTGATTCCTCATCTTTATCAGATATCACCCTTGATGGCAATCCAATAGCTCAGGAGACATGGTACAAACACACAGTTCTCCATCATATGATGCAGCTTCGACAGCTAGATATGAAGAGAATCACAGTAAGAAATTTCTGTTTTTGTCAAACTTACTAGATCCTTACATTCAGAAGTAAAATGTAGGGTTTTCTGTGTATATATGTATATTAAAAGTACCACCATTTTCCTTAATTTCATATGGAATTGAATGGTGTATAGGCATTACAGTATTTAAAACTTTCACCTTTTTTCTTTTGTTCAGATTTATGTAAGGGTGTGCTTTTTTACTTCATTTTAACGTGTTTATTTTTAAATGCTTACACTTTTCATTAGTAAATACTGTGTGATCAATTGCCATGAGAGAATCTGCAAAGCTTTTGGTTAGAACTTTCTCAATGTAGTCTTTACTGGTTTGCTGTGTAGCTGAAAAGGAACAGCGTACTTCTTCCAAAGGAATAGTCTGTTTACCCTCAAATTGGTGTTATTGGTATCTTCTTTCGTTGAAAAAACTTGTTGGTTTCTTTAGCCTGCCTCCCTAAGGAAATGTGGTGATCACGCTGTTTCTGTGTCTGTGTTTCTCCCTTCCTTACCTAACCTACTCTTCCTGTTCGTTTCTGTTTCTGCTGCTCAAGTTCAAGTAACCCTGATAAGGAAGACTTGCAGACAACTAAGTCTCCTACAGACTTCTTGAAAATACACAGTAAGGTAGAGGATGAAGGGCAATCGCTGGGGGCCTTACCATTAAGTCAACTATTTTATCTCTTAATACAGGAATAGCCACATTGATTCTTCTGTGTGTACTCAAAAGTGACCTTCTTACAAGAGAAATGCATCCAGCAGCAAGATGACAAATATAATATACTTTATAAGCAACAGTGTTGTAGTATTACCTGTTTTGAACAGGTGCTGATACATATACCTTACTTTAAATGCTCATTTGCTTTGTACAAAGGCTGTATTGCATTACAAATTGCACCTGTTGTTTTCCCAACTATCCTGTTGTTCTGTAGCCACTCTACCATAAGTATAAAATAAAGCCAATTATGATATAAAATATAACAAGTATGTGGAAAACATTAACTTTAAAATTAAAGTGCTTTGGGGTATGAGAGTTTTATTCCCAGTATCAAAAATACTAAATACTTGCTTGTTTGCAGGTATTCCATGGATTGTTTTTTCTTTTGCTAATTTATACTGACTTAATTGAATACTTTCTAACTGATTTGCTTTTAAAAAGATTGTTTTCTCAGTACTATTTCAGAAATGTGACTAACATAAAGGAAACGTTTCCCTTCCTTTGCCCCCCCCTCCCCCTTCCCCCCCACTTCTTGAGAGGAGACTGATCCTGCTAGGACTCTCAGTGATGGGAAAAACCAAAAACCATAGAAAGAGCTCAAACTTGCTTTTTAGACTCCATGGGATCTATATGGGGAAAAAGCTATTAGAGATGCACAGCCATGGGAAGAACTTAATCTGGGTTCGCACCTTGTTAAACATCAGAGAGTCAACCAGAAGTCAAAAAGCCATAGAAAACCAGGCTTCACTAGTTGTGCTGCTCATAAATCTACTTGTAAAAAGAATGTGTTTTGCATTCTTTTTATATGCATTCTGGTTTTTGAGCCTCAAGAACTTTTTAAAACATTTTCTCCATGCGGAGGGTGCTATATGTTTTCTCCAGTAAAAACTGGGTTACCCAGATAATGATATGACTTAAGAAACTGGGATTTTAAGAAAAATAACAAGTATAATGAGATTTGTGATAAAATTGGAGAGTTGGCAATGCCAAATGCAGCTACTCTGCCTGGTAAAGCAACTTGCTGTTGCCATCGGCTGTCAGGGTAAATGTAACTTGATAGGGGAATGGAAGTACAGTATTGGGTATGTGTTTTTTCTCACTTGATTAGTCTACCTGAACTCTAACTACATTTATAGGATCACTTCTTCATTGGTCTGAAGAGCATCCAGACAATTTTGAACTTAAGCATTGCTTTATCTTGTAAAGAACTGAGAGTTGGACTGGGATGTTGGTTCTTTCTGACTAGGAATTCCTCACTAACCTGTTCAGAAGCTCTTCTGCTTGAGAACTGAATTTTACACAATGGTTACTTCTGCTTTTAACTTTTCTTTTACTTGCTGGCTTCACTTATTTCAAGAAAGAGAATAAAATCTGAAGGGTATTTTCAAGAGTTTATAAGAGACTTTTAAGCTTTATTCATGTTAGTTTTAAAGAAGACATATGCTCTTTGGTGCCAGGCCTTTTCTATAGGATTCTCTGGAGAAAGGTAACCTCAGGGCAAAAGTCTGGTGGTAACTGCCTCTGCCTTAGGGAACTATTCAGAAACATATAGCTGCCATGACAGTCAAATACTCTGCACTTGGAAAAACTTTTTTGCATTGTAATTGTTCTAATATTTGCCTTTATTCAAGGGATTGCATCATACATATTATGACAACTTTTAAACCGTGACTCATGAGGAAGTTGGTGTTTTCTTAAGCCATCTCATTCCCAAGCCATTTTTGCATGTAAGATTTAAGCTCTTAAACCACTGAGGCATGGACCCAGTGGTGGTGAAATCGGTGGAGGTTAGTCACCTGTAATGAGTTTCACTGTAAGACTGTAAACACTTGTTCATTGTCCACACTAGAAGACGATTTTCAGCTAAAAAACCCACCTGCTTTGTATTGTGTATCTAAAAACATCAACTCAGTGGAAATTTTTCACTTTCTCAAACTTTGATAGATTAATCTAGAGGCTTAAAGAGGGGGAAGGAGGCTGAATTATCAGGCTGGACAGATTCCTGTGTGTCACCTATGTTAACCATCAGTAACTGTCTGTAACAGTTAACAGCTTTACCTCACAACTAGGGTGGACTAACATGACTTAATTTATGGCTCAATGAAACAAGCTTACATGAAATTGAACTGTGTTACAGTCAAAGCAGGCTCAGATTGCATACATAGTCATTTACATTGTTTGGTTAATATACTGTAATTGCTGTTTTTTTCTGGGCATTGAGGCTTTTTGAATGCATTTTGTAATTTGAACTTTTGAAAAAAGTGGACCTGTCCGGTGGTGCTTACAGTTTAGCTGTGACCTATCTTTTTTTTTTTCTCCAGTCTTCCATAACGGTAAGCAGATACTATCTGCAGACATGTAATAAAATATTAAAATATGAATAAAATGTGTATATATTCCTTACTTGGAAATTGTTTAACCAGGAACATTTGTTATCCATCACTTTAAACACACATTCTCAACAGAATTTGCTACGTGTATATATATTTGTGTGTGTGTGTACAATATATAGCGTGTATATGTATTTTTTTCTAAACGTGCTGTGGTTCCAAAATTGAAAGACAAGCTGCATATTTTTAACAGTAAAACGCTGCTTCTTTTGATTGAGGTTTTATAGGTTTTGGATGCTTAAAGTAAGAGAGCTGTGTTTGGTTTTGATTATTTGCTTAGACATTTCTCTACTGATCAGGGAGTGGCTTCTACTGCTTTATCCAGAGTAGAATTCATTATCGATTCCATCACCACTTTGAAGTGTTCTGGTTTTTTTAAAAAAAAAAGAATCCCTAGGTTTTTTTATCTTTCCACTTGAAAATACGATACTTCAGGAACTTCTAGAGTCATTCTTGTGGATCATAATCCTTTCTCTTAAATCAGGTCTTGTGAAAATATATTAAATCAGTACTGAAAGTTAAGAATGGGGATACATCTCACTATCAAATATCACTCAATGATCAGTCAAAAATGTTGTATTTGCTCTTTTCCATGGCTATATTTCTACTGGAAACATCCTTACATTCTTACATAATTCTTGCGTAAAAATCAGTCTCTGATTTACATAATAAAAGTAGTCTGCCTTCTGCAAGTATAAATGAGCTGAATTTTGTGTATTTTAAGTGTACGGTGTTCAGTTTTCTTTATGCCTTGAAAGCTTAAATGGATAGTCCAGGCCATTCTTCCAAAAGTAGTTTAGAAACAGCTACAGTATACTTGATATAAAATAATCGATAGTAAAATTATTTGAATAATTTTAAGGTAGATGTACTATGGAAATCAAATGCTGCATTCATTGTGTGCTTACTTAGCATCTTTTTCTCCTTTGACTTAAATGGTATCATTTGTTGAAAAAGAACTTGTTTGAATAGCAGTGGAGCAGTAGTGAGAAAGAATACATGCATTCCACTGCGGTCTCTTTAGGATCCTTCTCGGGTCTTGCTGGATGTTACCTCTTCAAAAGACTGATGATATAATAATAGGTTTGGCCAAAATCTGTGGTGTTACAGTTCTGGTAGTACTCATGTAGCAGCAGGGGGAGCTGTCAGCATGCCAAACTGCAGATATGCTTCTGTTACAGCTCTAATGGAAGGCTTTTTATAAGGGTGGTAATAGCTTTAATGTGCCTTATTCTTCTTGTATTCTGTTGCTACTATTACTTCACACTGAGTATGTAAACCTGCAGCCTTAAAATCACATTGTAGAAAGGGAGATTTCTGCTTCTTTAGGAAGTATATTCACTACTCTTTTTTGTTTTGTTTTGGTTTTGGTTTTTTATTGTTATTTTGTGGGGTTTGTGTGTGTTTTTTGGTTTGTTTTTTTTTTTTGGTGAGGGTGGCTTCTTAGCCATTTATTAAGTTTTTAGATGGGAGGTGGAGAACTAATAAATGGAGGAGATTTCCATATACAAGAGGACATCCAAATCCTTTTGTAATGATCTGACACTTTGACCTTCTGGAAAAGCATGCCCCTTGTCCAGCAGGGTTTGGCTTACAGACAAAACAAAGCTATGGACAATAGTGGCAGAAAAATGAGGAAGAACAAAGGAAAAGGGAGGTAGGAAGAATTTCAAAAGAGCTGGAGCTAAAAGAAGAGAAGAGGTGATAGTTAAAATTAATTGCGGCAAGGTTATTAAGGGCTTTGCTTTATAACTTAGTGGGTTTTCTGGGGTTATATTTGTGGGGTTTTGGGGTGATGTGTTTTTCAAGATTGATTGCATGTGTTGTGTAAGATTAATCAAGAAATATATATGGAATTGATTTCCATAAAAAGCAGATTTGGCCCTTGATCTTTATCCAGATGTTTTCTGTCATTCTGCCTTTATGAAGAGTAAGTAAAACTAGGATATATTTTCTTTTTAGGCTAAGCTAATTTCTTTTGTAAAAGAAATAGTATTTTTTAAGTGTCTGTGATTAGGATAAACTCTTGATCAAAATAAAGTCTTATTCAGTTAACAAAAGACTCTTGTTATAATGCAATTTGCATTAGTTTAGTTCATTCTTTGTATTGACACTGTGCTGGTGGGTAAGTACTGGACTGACTTGAATGAGGGCAGTAGACCCTCATGTATGGAAGACTATGTCATAAAGTATGCATTTGGGATGGATTAAAGGAAAGCTTTGAGATGGAAGATAGAGTAAGAAGAGGTATTTGTGGAAGCTGAGAGAAAACTGAGTTAGGGAACTTTGTGGTTGTTTGCCTTAAAGCTTGGAAAAAAACAACCCCTTAAGTTGTTTGGAAAGGAATAAAATTAATGGAGGCTAATTTCCTATAGACTAGTGTCATTTTATTCTCAACTCTCACCTTCCCCAGTGCAAAACACAACAATATCTCAGTCTGGAGCTGAGTCTGTGTGGATTGGCCAGCTGTTTTCTGCCAAAGAGAATGGATAATTTCTGCTGCTTCTCCCTTGCTTGGAAAATTGGTTTACATTTCTCTTCTTTCTACGTACCAATTTTATATAATCAACCTTATGGGGGGGGAAAAAAAAACCCACTTAATTTGACACTTTTAAAGATACTTTATTTAATATGTTCAATATGTTGAAAAATCATCAGAAAAGATTAAGACACTGAAATTTTAAAAAGCTTGTTTCTTTAGGAAGCCAAGTTAAAAAGCAGAAATGTAAGGTCAAATGAAGAGATTTAATTAGAAAATAAAAAACCCCAAACCAACTCTAGCCTACCTTCTGTAGAAAGATATCACTAATGTAGTTTGCTAGTGTTTATATTTTAAGACTAAAGGGTTTTTTAAGTAAACTTAGTACAGTGTAACATGTAATTGGGATAAATGGCTGTTGTGACAATTATGTTTGTAGTTCATAACATTCTGAATCATATTTTGAGAAACAGTGTTTTTATGTTGCATTATTAATTATATATTCATATTTGTGGCATATTACCTGCATGGGGTTTATGTAAGCCTCACCCTGTTCCCTCCCATTCAGGTACTGGGTTTCATTGTGTGGTATTTTGTTGCATTGGGATCTGGAAGGATTTCTGTAGCCACGTGTGGGTTTATTTAATTATTTGTTTATTGTTCATCCTCAACTGAAGAAGAGAAGACTGAGAAGGGGACCTTATCAACACATACAAATATCTCAAGGGTGGATGTCACGAGGATGGAGCCAGACTCTTCTTGGTGGTGCCCAGCAACAGGACAAGGGGCAATGGGCACAAACTGAAACATAAGAGGTTTCAGTTGAATATGAGGAAGAACTTCTTGACTTTGAGGGTGACAGAACACTGGAACAGGCTGCCCAGGGGGGATGTGGAGCCTCCTTCTCTGGAGATATTCAAAGCCCACCTGGATGATGTCCTGTGCAACACTGTCTAGGTGAACCTGCTTTAGCAAGAGGGTTGGACTAGATGATCTCCTGTGCAACACGGTCTAGGTGAACCTGCTTTAGCAAGAGGGTTGGACTAGATGATCTCCCGAGGTCCCTTCCAACCCTTGCCATTCTGTGATTCTGTGAACATGGACTAATGACTTCCTGAGGTCACTTCCAACCGGGATTATTCTGTAATTCTATGACACCAGCTCCTTGGTAATACCCTGCTTAGGAAGAAATGAAAAGCCCAGTAGCAGAGGAGGCTGCCAACAAAACTTCACCCTCAAAAGTTGCTTTTAGACCAAAAAAAAAAAAGCTAGGCTTTCCAATTAGTGTTCCAGGGAAATTCTTGCATACAGTTTGGTCAGAGAAGCTTACTCTATATAAAGCCTCATGCCCTAACCTGCATTAAGATATTCCTCTTGTTTAATATATGCATATTAAGTTAAAGTTATGGAAGAACAATTTGAAAGTGTGTTGTTTAATCATCGTTCAGATTGATGTCAAAATCCACGGTATGTCAGTGGGTCTTGGGGGGCTGTACACAGATAAGTTTGCTATGTGAACCTAACTTCTTACACTTTGGAAATTATTTTCTTAAAAATGTAATAGCGATGCGAAGTGTGAAGTTCCTCTTTTATATCATTGTCCAGTAAGCATTCACCCATGTGCTTAGGGGTTCTTACAATGCTCTAAACATAGCATGTTCTATTTATATAGAAACTTTGAGATATCAATATGTCTTCACGGTTGATGTTTTCTGTTCATTTTTGTTTGCTAATTTTCCTAATGCATAACTTTCTGGAAAGTGAAAGTGAAAAGGTTAGGACAGGAGCTTTCCATTTTGAGGGAAATCAAAACACTTTCCGTATATTCTGGGAAGATACTTTAATAGAAACACCCAAATGGCAAGTGAAGTAAATCAAAATAAGTTAAAGTATGCTCCCCAAATATTTGTGTTGGAAGGACTCTACACTTTTTACTTCATAGTGAACATTTCTTTTATTACTTGAAAAATATATGTTCTAAAAATACTGTGCTGTGAGAATGTTTAGACTTCTGTAAACAGGGAGCATTCAACCTAATATGGGTGTATTGCAGCATTAAGTTGCTGTACCAGGAAAATTAAGCATCTTCACTTACATGACTCTCATGATTTAGGAATCAGTGCCTTTCTTCTTGAAACTTCTTCTTGAACTGGGTAATAATATTGATAAGAAATAATGTTAATGTACTATAGTTAACTTTGAAAATACTATTTTCTTCCCAAGTTCTGTTGCTGATTGAGAAAAGTAAGCCCCTGGAAACAGTTTATAATGATAAAAATCAATCTTAGATTACGATTTAAGCATAAATAGAATTCAGCTCACTTGCTCTGTGTCTCCTACTAATCCTACTAATTGTAAAAACTGGTACAAAGATATAATGCACTGTTACATTTAAAAACATTCTTTTCCACTGTCATACTCACCATATGCTTTATAGGGTTTTTTTAAGACCTTTACAAATACTGGTTTTAAATAGCATTATCTTCAGCATTTGCATCTGAGTAGATATCTATTTCTTCTGTATTTTTTGATTTATTTGTTGTTACTAATTTTATTGTTTTTAATAATGTTTAAAATATTAAAATGTTAAAAATCCTGAAATTGTCTTAAAATGAAAAATTGCATTGTAAATACAGACACAAAAATATATTAATAATTTATCAGTAATACTTTTAAAACCTGATTAATTCCTTCTTTTATGAAGTTGTTCTTTGTTATTTTTTCATCTAGGAAGAAGAAAGACGTATGGCATCTGTTGCAGCAAGGAAAGAGGAAGAAAGGAAACGCGAAAGCCATAAACAGACCTTGCTTAAGGTATTTTCTATGGCTGTTCTACGCCTACTCTAAACCAGTTTACAGCAATAATCTATATCCTAATATTTTTTTTCTGTCATTTCTACATATCCCAATATGGCTCTATCCCTTAAACTTTTTTTTTCAGCTTAAATAGTGCACTCCACAATTGAAACTCTCTTCAGTCAACTATGCAAGTTATACTTTAGCAAAAAAATCCAATAGGATATATGAGTGTGATATATGTAAATGGCTGGTAAACTTCACTTTCACAAATCCAGAGATAAAGTAAATCCAGAGTAAAGTAAAGGACTTTTCAGTGATTTCAAATTCCTTGAACTTGTTCTCCTCCATTTCAGGTGAGTGCTCTATCTGCTTCCATGCAGGGTGTTCTGAAGTAGTTTTTCTTCATTCTTTCCTGTTGAAGTTGTTCCTTTTTGTAGAAAGAGTTAAACAGTCATCAGACCAGCAGCTAGACTCCAGCTATCTTCTTTTTCAGAAGAGCACTTATGTACTCTTGGCCTGGTTAATGCTTAGATACATGGAATACATGTATTAGATATATGTATTAGATACATGGATACATCAGCTTAGATACATGGAATAGCTCTAACAGGGGAGATTGAGGTGCACTCCAGAATAACCTTGTAGGGCTGATGACTAAATGACCTATGTTGCCAATAGGAGACCAAAGTTCAAGGATCTAAGAGCATCTGCATTCCATTTGTTGTGTGAGTATCACCATTTGTCTCCAAATCCTTTTTCTTTGGAGAGAAAAAAAGATGCCTAAATCTTTTTGTCATTCTGTAATGGTTATGCAAAAAGCTCTTTCAATTTGGCAGTCAAACAAAAAAATTTCATTCAGCCATATTGTTAAGTTGCCTTGGTAAAATCATATTTCATGAAAGAGATTAGACTGAAAGTAGTTGCAGGAGGCTGTAAGAAGTGTAGTAAACGTATATAACTCTGAAAAATAAAGATGCAAACAGAATGTTAATAGTTTATTAAAAGACGTTTTAAGTCTAGAACCCCAAAACCTAAATATACGAATGGGGAAAAAAAAGGCTAGTGCCTAAGAGTGTATTTTGATTTCTTGTATATTTGTATCATGTATATTTTGATTTTTCTATTTAAAAAAAACCAACACCAATATAACAAAAAAGCCTTAGATACAATCTTTTTTTTTTTTTTTTTTTTTTTATTAAGTTTTGGTTTTGGGGCCAGTTGGTGGGGTTTTTTTGGTGGGGTTTTTTTTTTCCTGTAAGATACTGAACTATCTAAAGTCTCTTCAGGTTTGAAGTTTTGGTGCCAGTTCTTAATAACATGAAGAAATGGGAAATTAGTAAATAATATTTGCACATGATGTTATTTTATGCTGTTGAAAAGCTAACTGTGTCTCTGGACTGGAAAAAAATAGGTGTTCTTTGAAAGTGTGTGTTTGTAGTTCATGTCCTTAACTATTACTGTAGTGTTTCCTTACAGCAGAGGGATTGTTTGTCTTGATGGCGTAGATTTTCCAGTGCATTTTGTGAATGGAAACTTCCCTTAGAACAGAAAAAAATACATTCTTAATGTATAATGCCATTGTTACTCAGATTTCAAGATTAAATTGTAGATCTTGTAATTTAATTGAGGTATCTTTCTTATTTTAATAGAGTGGCATTGGAGCTGAATACCAATGTCTGTTGCACGATTCAGTCTTTTTGTATATCTTTCCTTCGTAAATATGTTCTGGTTTCTTTTTTCCTGTTTTACATGTTTGAATTAAAAGGAACAAATCTTAGATACAATTTCCACTTTCCTCCAAACTTTCTTAAACTATATGCAGTGTAAATGAAACTATAAGCACTCATTCAGTAGCAAACAATTGCTCTTTTCCTGTATTTACTGCATCAAAAAAGGTAATTTCAGCAATGTCATCTCTTCTTTTTCCCTTGCTGATTCTGGTCTACCCTAACAGTGGAATTTCTTAATCTTTTTTTTTTTTTCTTCCCCACCCCCACAGGCTTTTTTTTGTTTTTTTTTTTTTTAATTGCTTATAACCCACTCATCTGGGGAAGCTTGATATGTACTTCAAAATGTACAGAGAATGTAATTCCTTTCTAACAGAGGTTAAACTTAATATCTACTGGAACAAGAAATACTTATTGCCAGCAGAATCTTCACACTTCTAAAATTTGCTTTTTGAAAACTCCCAAGAATTCGTTTTACAAAGCTCGGTAGGAATTCAGTAGCCCCCAACTGAGGGCTAACAAAGCAGTAGAGCTGTATGGTAGTTGAGGTTATGAGAAGACCCTCAGTTCCCAGAACAAACAGAATTTTCTAAATGTGATTGGAAGAAAATGCTGACTCTTTCAACTTCCCCTGCTTTCTGTGACATGGAGCCCAGTCATCGCTGGAGTCTGTAAATGTTGGGCTTTTGGTGTTCTCCAACCAGATAACATCACAATTCTTTGGGCAAATTGAACGTGAAATAGAGTTTTGAGCTTTTTAAAATGGAAAAACTTTCAGAAGAAGAAAATTTTTAAAGTAGTTTCCATGTGCTTTCAGTGTCAATTATAAACAATTATGGACATAATTTTTATAAGAACTTAAAGTCTAGTTGATCTATCTCTGGGTTATCAGTCACTGAAACAGATCGTGGTGTGTACCCTGAGTATAATAGCTGCAGCATGAGGGATTTGCATGTAGGTATTAAATGTTTTACTGTGAAACATTTATATGCATTTGTTCTTTATTCTTAAGGAATAAAGGAATTCTTAGGCTCCGCAAATTAGCAATCACAGATGATGAAATGCTTGGGTTTTTTGTTGATCTACTGTTTTCTGTTTTTCAAAGAAATATTCATCTGTAGTGCTTTACACTTCACATCTCCAACACTGAGCACTGAGAGAAACATTCTTGGTGAACTACACTGCAATGATGTCCACAACTTGCCCACTGTGAATTATGTAAAAACATGATGCTAATGGTCACATGTTACTTATATATAAAAAAACCTAGAAGCATAGCAAGTATAGGTCAAAGTTAATATATCAGAAGTGTTAATTTCAAACTGTAAAATTAGGTTTCCCTTGGTCCCCTGACTTTCTCCATAGGCATATCAAATAAATTCTCTTTTTTTTTCTATTTGAAAAAAGGGGCTATAATATAAGTTTGTGGTTTGTGTTGGGTTTTTTCCAGCCATAGAGTTTGTCTTAAAACAGAAATGTGAATGTTCAATTTTAAAATAAATAAATAAAGCCTTTCTAGCCTTCAGGACTTCTGGTACAACCTTCTAAATTTTAATCAATATTGTGGTGTTTTCTTGTATCGTAGTCAGTCTAACAACATATTCTAAAGGAGACGGGAACTAATGTAATGATATCTAAAATTATGATATTAGACAGGCTTTTAACATTGGTAAGAAGTTGATAAGGGTGTTGAGCTTATGCTCTAAAGAAATAATTGTTAACAGGAATTTACCTTGTCTGAGATCCTTTTAGACCCTATTTGAGATCATTGCAACTTGAAGCTAACAGGTACTTGCTGTTCCAATTCAAAATTTCATAGCACTGAAGTAGAATATTTATTAATACATCTGAAGAATATGCATCTTTTATTCTTCCCCGGTTTATGGGTAAAATTAGTGAGAAATACGCAGACTGACTATGAACTGCTGTTTATACTACTTTGGGCAAGTTCAGGTTTGCCTTTTTCCCCCCTCCATTCCAAAATATCAGGACGTTTGTATTCCACTTCCAATAGTGATGTTCTGAAGTATATAAGAGAAATTAAAGGATTCTTAGAATATTATGTTTTGTTAATACTACTTAAGTGTGGGAAGCTTTAAATTAAGGTTTTTACTTTGTATGGAATTGAAAGCTACATTTCTATAGCAACATCAGTTTAGAAGCAAAAAATCATTGGCCTTGACTGATACTCTGTTTTCTCCGTGTTTTCTGGATATAGATTTATTTTATGCTAAGCCCCTTTATAATATTTTCCTCTCAGAAATTCTAAGTCCCTGTTCTAGTTTCATTGAGAGTAGCGTAGCGTAATAGCAAGATAGTTGACTCGCAGGGAATTAGATCTGGTTCAGAAAAACCAAATTAAGTGGAACTTACTATGAATTTACCCTTTGATACATGTTTATATATTATATTTTATGAGACTTTAGCTGCCAGTACATGTGCTCTTACAAAGCACCTTGTTCTTTAACCTTTTAAAGTATGCTAAATGGGATTTATTAAATAATACATATCTGTATGATATAATAGAATGATAACCTATATATAGAATTGGAGGTAATGGACAGGATTGGCATGACTGTGCAAGAGCAAGTACTTAATAGACTTCTGAAATACTGGTTCCTTGACAAGAGCTGTCTAGAATATAAAAACTACTTTAAAAAAACTATTACAGAATATTTGAACTTAGATATTTTATAGTCTTTGTGTCTGTCAGGAAAGTAATTTCATTTACTGTTTTTTATAGAATTGACTTTTTCCATTTTTCAGGAGATAACTTTTTTCCCCTGTGCAGAGTATGTTGCAATTACTGCTCAGACTTACAGCAGTTGCATCACTGTCTTAGCTTAAGTGCTAGGGTCATTCTAGTAGCATGGAGAAAAGTCCCAAGTAGTCTGCCCTGTTTTGTGAGAGAAGTATTGCAAGCAGCTCCAGATTGTAAAAATGAGACCTTTCTGGTTATCCAAACTAAACAGTTTAACTTTATTTTTTCACAAGTGGTGACTTTATTATGTTACTTTCCTTGTTTCTGTTATTGCAAATTTTGTGACATTATTGCTGGCAGTTATGCTAAATAGCACTAGAATGATGCTTTGGTTTTAATGTATAACTGCCAAACAGTACTATCGTTTCTTCACTTTAAAATATTTCAAATGTTTTGTTTAAGCAGACTATTTCTTTCAGAATAAACAAGTGTGGTGGTACTTCACTGTCATAACTTATTATGCCTTTTATATCTTGTTTCAGGAAAAGAAACGGTTAACAATTTGCAATATTGCACATCAGTGGGAGATACAGCAGAATCGAATAGCTTTTGTGGCTTCTTTAAACCAAGATAAAGATAATGAACCCTGTCAGATCAATGGCAGTGCTGCATATGTATTTCCTGAAGAAAGCAGGTATTTTATTGGGAAATATTTCTTCTTGTTCATGTCTTGTATTCCAAGTTACTACTTCTCACCTCTGAGATTTCACTGTATTTTATTATCAAAAATAACATATCCAAATCAATCCTGAAAAGGTGTTTTACTTCATGATTAAACCTGTTGGCCATTAGTAGTTAATACATATTAAATAAGTAATATAACAGCAACTCATTGACTAAAGTGCAAGCTAAATTATTATGTGATTTTGCTAAGTAACGGAGGACTTCATGTTTGCAAGAAATGCTAAATATCAATTCTTGAGCCTTGTTAAGACTGTTCATTTCCTTGACAACGTAAGTTGTTGCTTTCAGTTGAAATGAACAAAAAGAGCATTACATAGGAGCTCATAGGAGCATTACATAGCATTACAAACATTTGTAACCTTTTTGTGTATCAAGAGGTTTCATAAACTGAGTGTTGAATTTATGTTCTCAGTTTGAACAGCAGCGTCTCTTATTGGACCACTTTCATACCTATGCTGTTCCAACAATACTAGTTCTTTGGCTTAGTTTTATTCCTCAGATAATATTTCCTAAGGTAATTTTAGTATTGCTCATTTAAAATATAGTTATATTATTTTTGTGACACACTTTGTGGCTTGCTTATTTGCATCTAAAAGGTGGCCACTGGAACTCTACACAATTTAAAAACCAAATGCAGTACTTGATGAACAATGTGTGCCTTGGATTGGCTAAAACCAAACTAGCACACTTTCAACCTGGCTAGCTCAGGCAAAAGCCTGAAAAAATAGTCTGCATGAATTCAGTAGCAAGTACAGCTTCCTGCTGTGCATGATCAACATTGGAAATGTCAGGTACAGGCAGGAAGTCTTTGCCTCTCACAAACAGAACCCATCTGAGTTTCAGTCTAGTATTGGTTAGGCCTGTTTTTTATCTCCAGTTGAGTGATGCATCTTTTGAAACACTTCTTTTTCTTAGCATTTTTAAATCACTGTAGTCCATTTTGTTCTCGTGCTTCCAAAGCTTTTCCCCAAACATATGTTTGGTCACTGCTTTCTTGCATTCTTGGTTTCTTCACAATTTAATTCAGTGTTAGTAATCATCGCCCATGACCAAGCTACTGTGGTAGCTTGAACATTGTCCTGTTAATGAACAGATTCTCATTGCTTGAGAAATCATGCTTTTAAGTAACATATTAAGACTTTTTTCGTGGGGTTGTAGCGAAGATCTTGGTGTAATGCTATCTCTACTTAATGCTGGATACAGTAACTAAAGTTGGTTTATTCCTTGTAGTTCCTGACTGAGATTGTTTGGATTGTTTTGTCAAATATACAGTAATAAAATACAATGCATCAACTCCGTTTCCATGTTCTTGTGAAAGTTTTTTGTAGTTTAAGATTTGTAGAATGCATTGTAGAAATCAAAGTCATTACTTCTATGAAATATAAAATTTCACCCCCCCTTGAGATGTTAACAAAATAAAACATGCTTTATTTGGATATATTATAATTCTCTTAGGCAAAATATGATGCATTTAGTTTTCTGAATTGGTGACGTAGGTTTGGAATTTTTCTGTTTTGTGACTAGTTAGACAAATGAAAGTGTGATAGTTATCTTCATCACTGATTTTTATTAGTTTAAACGGATTAATGAAGATGTGGCAATGTGTGTTAGAATTAAGAAGCTATAGATAACACTGCCATTTTTTGCCTTGAAGCCTTATTGCTTTTTAACACCCTCTAAATTAAAATTGACATTGATCTACTACCATGTTTTATAATAGTGAAGAATATCAGAAGGTATTTTCAAGACGAGTGTCTAAGCAATAAAATGGCAGGTGAAATTCAGCATAGATAAGTAATTAGAGCTTCACATTGAAGCGATGTGCTCTCAACATTTCCAGTCAAGACTGAAATCTTAGAATTTTTGTTGACTTTTGTCAAGAAAACATTAGTCAAGTGATCGCTAGCGGTCAAAGAAGCAAAATATGTTAAAAATACTATGAAGGTAGTAAAGAATAAAATAGTAAAAATCATTATGCAGCTTTCTAGACCTGTGATTTGTGCTCATCCTGAATTCACTGTGCACTTCATGTCCAGTCAGCTGAGTGTATCATGTTGGAAGTAAGACTCAGATGAGAGTTGAGAATACCTTATTGCTTATCTTAAAATCGCTCTTGTGAATTGGAAAGCTCACATTATTTTAAAGAAATGCTCATTCATCCCTATTATTTAAGGATTAAACAAGGATAATAAGCCATAAGATTATTCTCATCTCTAAGGAGAATAATGAATCCTGATGTCCTGATTGGATAATGTGACATACAGATTTGAGGAAGGAATGATACTCATGTCAAGAATAAAAATAGCTGTTCAGCACTGTGAATAGCATTATCCTGGATTGGTTTTAACAACTGTCTGTTCTTAAAGTGCTTACTCATGTTGTAACTTAGGTTTAATATAGCAAACAGAATGTGAAGGTGACTTTGCTTGAATAAATATGTTGTTTGAAGTTGGTTTTAGATATCTAAAGCAACACAAAATACCTTGGGCTAGCATTCTAAGTTAAAATGTTTAAGCAGGTTATTAAATGAGTGATTTCTTAATTTATTTATTTAATTCCCCCTGCCCCATCCAACGGAAATACACCCAGAGCCTTTCTGCCAAAGTAGAACAGTTGCAGTGTTACTTGATGGAGAAAGGATTTTCCAGGCCTTAATGTTTTTGAACCAGACTGGGTACTGCAAATGAATGAATGCTGAGAAATGCAGTTGTGTTTTTTTAAATGAAAGGACTATCATTCAATAGAATGATGTCACTATCTCAAAATGATCTCATTTATATCACTGCATTTTTATTTCTTTGACAGGTCTCTTGATACAATATTGAGCAGTGCAGTACAAGGCTTGTCTGTTCTTGAGTCTCATTTAGTGGAAGTGGAAGGAGATACTCTTTGCTTGTATGGTGCTGGAGCGCTGGAGTGCCTGGATCGAAACTGGAGTGTTCAAACAGCTGGAATTATTGTCACAGTCTCCTTTATGTTCATAGAATTTGATGAAATTGTTCAAGCGTTAACAAAACTGAAGATAAAATTTCCTAATTCTGTGGTAAGAATGCCTCAAATTTCAGCTGTGTGAACAGCTATGGAATATGTATTCTCTGATAGAACCATGGTTTGGCACAGTCACCCTTGAGTACTTTCATATAAATATATACATTTGTGAATTACATATTTGCTTGGTGTTATCCTATAACACTAACTGTAACTCGAGACTTCTTAAAAAGCAAGACTTTAATTTAGATTCTCACGCAGGATGGTGTTTTCTCTTCAGACTGATTACTATTTCTCTTCATTCCTTTGACCTAGCTGATAATTTTTAAGTTGCAGAACTGATGTGTAAACACTGTATTGCTGTTCTACAGTACTGTTGTGGATCCATGGTATCGGGAGACCTTAATCTGTGTTGTGAGTTCAAAGATTACATAGCTGATAGGATAAAAAGAGAGAGGTAAAATTCAAAGGTAATAGCTAATTAAATCAGTACAGCTCTTGGGATTCCTCAGTTCCTGATGAAGCAAGACAACATAAACAAGACAACCCTTTAGTACTTTTTCCTATTTTTTTTTTTTCCTTGGCCATTTAAATTAGTCTTTTTGAAGCAAATACTAAAATAGTGATGACATACATAAAGCAACTCATTACTCAAATGGTAGGTTTTGAGTATAACAGAACTTAATGGTTTTGTTGAGATATGTAAAGTTGTCTTAATTCCCCACAAATTTATCTATCTCAATGAAACTGTTGTTTTGTTGTAGGGGGAAAATTTTGTGGGGGATAGCAGAATCTCAACTAAGTATTTATCTTCACCATCAAGTTTTCCTCCTTCCCTCAATAATGCTACTGTGTAGCCAACTATACCATGCTCATAGGAGCACTAGCATAGGGCATGGTTTAAAGATACAGGAGGGTATGACTTAATGCCAGCCCGTTATGGCCAAAAAAGCAGAATATTTTAAAATTTATATTGTACTTATTTTAATGAGTGGATGTTGCAGTTGCTTGACTTGCAGACTTAAAATAAACATTGCTCAAGTAGTATCACTGCTTTTTGTAACACTGAAAATATTAGTGTCGTTACTGAAGGGTTTATAAATTGCTTAGGGGCTTGTAATGTTGACATTTCTAACTACATGTAATACACCAGTTGGCTTTTACATTGATGTGTTTTCCACAAAGACTTCAAATGGAGTGAGCTCAGTTGCTTCATCAGACCTAAGGACTGTTTATTTGAGTTTGAAAACAAATGTTTGAGTGGCACAGAATGGGAACCATTGTGTTCGCTCTTTATTGTTTCCTTATTTAATTTATTGTGTTTTGACTTTTCTTTTCTTTAAGCACCTGAAGTTTAAGGAGACAAATCTTGTGACACTGCAGCAATTCAATGCATTAGCCCAAATGCATCACATTGAACAGTTGACAGTTGATCCTCAGGGAAATCCAGTTGTCAACTTTACTTTGTGGAAATACTATGTTCTGTTTAGACTCAACCATTTTAATCTACAGAAGATAAATGGAGTAAAGGTAGGACAGTGTTGCTTCCTTCTAATTATTGGCCTTACAAGATAAATTATCTTTAAAAAAGCAGATGAATTGCTAATAAAATGAGCAGGACCCTTTCAGTGTCCTGTCAGTATTAGGGGGAGAAAAAAATTTAAGTAGACTTCACCAGATCCTTGCTTGTGCTGTGCCCTTAATTCCAACTGCACTGTGTTATAATTAGCAAAGTTGATTAGATTCTTAGTTCCCATAAAAATGTTGTATTGTCTCAATGTGCATTTGACAGACTTAGTAGTTTGTAGTATATGATTATCTATATTTTCCAGTGTTAAAAAATATAGCTAAAATAGTATTTTCTTCTTTAAGCCTATCACTGGAAAAAGTCTTTTTTTCTGCTTGCTATGTACAAGATCATTAGCGTGTGTGGTTTTTGTCGTGTGTGTTTTGTGTTTAAATAAATAGAAACTTAGGACATTAATACTGCTATTCTTTGTAGTTTGTATTTCCCTTTAAATCACTTGAAAGTAAATTTATTCAACACATAAAATGGTTATACTATACTTCAGCTTCAATCATAAAGGGAGCGAGAATAGTTATGATGCAACACAATGTTTCAATGTGCATTCAATTTTAAATGCTAAATACATTTAAGTGGTGTTATGGAAGTTAATTAGAGCAAAAATAATACATAGCTTTAGTGTTTAGATCTGGTGTCTTAATTTGGTCGTCATCATATGTTTTGGATTAGATATTTTACTTGTCATCTGATACAGCCATAGCATGAATGTTGTGGTTTGGTTGGTTTTAGTTCTGTAAAACATGTATTAGTTGCGCAGAAGAGCTGGAGTGGGTTAAAGAGCTTACCTGAATTAACTAGCAGAGAACGGATGAGAAAAGATGAAGGATAAAGGCAAATATGACTCACTCCAACAGCACAGTGTCTTGAAAAGGGGAAAAAAAAAAAGTGATAGTAATCCCACAAGAACTTTAAAATAGCCTTGAATTTAGTACTTTACAAAATATGCCCATCAAAGTTGATTTAAAAAAAAAAAAGAAGGCGGGGAAGGTTGAATGTGGGTTTAAAGTTTTTATTTCTTTTTTACTGCATTGTATTTTCAAAATCAACAATAGTGGTCCAGGTTAAAAGAAAACAGAAGATAAATCCTACCCGTTTGGTCTTCACAGAGAAAGAAAGAAAAAAAGAAAAAAACACAACTACTTAAGTAGAATTTTTGTTATGATGTCTAGGTCAGCAAATTCAGTCTTTGAAGGAAAACTTTGAATTTAATAGTGCTTGGGGATGAATTTAGTAAATGGATTTACATGTAGCACAGCATGCTTTTTACATAGGACATATATCAAATCTTAAATACGTAGGGCTGAAGAACATTTTTGTCCTCAACAAACTTTCTCAGCCAGACCACACTATATGAAGATGTGTGCACAGAGATTTTTTCCTAGTGTCATTAATAAATTAAAAGTGTCATAACCAAGTAGGCAAAAGAGATGAACTCTTGATTGCTGTTTTTCATTAGTCTGCAGCAGAAGTCATGGTATCCAGCTTTGCAGATTTATATTACCTTTTCTTTCAAAATTAATAATAGAAAACTCCTGTTTCAATGTAAAGAATACAAACCCCTGGAGCGTGTTGTCAAACCTTAGACCAGCCCTAAATAATAGATTCAGATGATGGAAAGGGAAGTGTGTGTATTCTGCTATTCTGATTATCATTGGTGTGCAATGTTTGTGAAGACTATTGCATTGACAGCTCTGAGATACATATAGTTGGGGAGTAAAAGCAATATATGCTAACTGAATTAACTAAATAAATTGCATATCTCTAGCACTATTAAACTTAAAAAAAAAAAAAAAAAAAAAAAAAAAAAAAACCACACAACAGTATAAGGAAACTTTTATTTTCTCCCCAACCTCCCCCTTCCATTCCAGGCTAGAAGCTAAGTGTTAGTCCCCTGCTAACAAAGATTTTGTTCCCTTGTCAAACAGTCACATTTACTAACTGTGAAGAAACAAATTCTCTTCGTAGAGACACACTAATTGAAATCTTTCCCAGTGATAGTAATCTCAGATTAATTAAGAGTTGTCAGGGTTTGAAGTTACTAAGCTTTACAAAATGCTTTATACCAAGTGGTATGGCATATGATACAACAGATGCACCAGTTCAGTAAATGCGATGCCTGTTTTCTGTACTTGGCAAGAAGCAGGCGTAATAGCCTTACATTTATGTGGTATTACCATTATAATCTTTTTGTGATTAATGGAGCAAACAATGTACTGGAGTAAGATAGAGAACATGAGTTTCTGTGAACTAGAGAGTGTATTCAGCATTGCTGTCTCTGTTGACCTGGTCCTTATGCTTCTCTTAACATAAATAAATAAATTAAAATCACTTATTTCTCCAGCGGACATTTCTGCCTGCAATGGTCTTTGTTTCCCTAGCTGCCTTCTGCGCTCTTTGTTTTAGACCTTGTTTCTGTTAACAGACTGTTTAGCGAGGTCATCTACTCTTAGGCTACTAAGTACGACTTATTTAATTTTAAGTGAAAATAAGCAAATCTAAACACTGTGAAAATGGAATTTATGTTTTCTCTGGTGAATTTCTTTCTGTGTTAAGCTGTTACAGTATACTTTAGGCAAAGGTAGATTGTATAGTCTATAAACATTAAAAAAGAACATAATGTTAATTTGGATCAAAATTCCATTTTACTCGCACATTTGAACAATACAGAACACAAAAATTGTCTGGAAGTACTTAGTAATATTGTGAGTATTGGAAGTTTATTTAATAATAGGTTGCTTTCCAAAAATATGCTACAAGATGAACAGAAATTAAATTTGATCCAGAAGTTAAGAAGTCACCAAGTGAATTTCATTGTCCTGTGTTATCCAGGTCAGATTTAGATGATTATAAAGATTCCTTCCGTACTCAGTGGAAAACCAGGAGTCTAGAAACTGTGCCAACAAACTTTTGGCAGTTGAAGTCAGTTCATAGTCTGGCCATCAGGGCAGGAGAAACGCAAGCCATGGTCTCCAGAGGTTATGAGCCAAGACAAACAAAAACCAATAACAACTGCTACCAAAAAATAAACCCCTTTCACCTTTATACAAAACTGAAATACGTAAAATTGATCCTGAAAATTTTTCAATCATTGAAAATTAGTTTAAAGAGATATCTGTAACTTAATGTTCACACAACGGTATGGATGATCTTTAGAGGAGTATAATGGAGGAACACTTATTTTGGGGGGGTTGAAAAATGCAGAGCAAATAGTAGTCTTTTTCCTTCTTTTTTTTTTTTGGGGTGGGGGTTTTTTTTTTTTTTTTTTTTTTTGGTCCTCTCAAGCCTCTCTTTATAGAAAGTCTTCTCTATAATGCTGCCAAAATAAAAGACTGTAACTTATCTTTTCACATATGGGTGCCCAGAATCTGCATTTCTGCAGCATAACTTGGTCAGAAATTTTCCAATAGGCCTTCTGTAAGTGCAGGCAGTATGGAGCAGAATTAATATGTCTGGCCTTCAGATACTCAATGCAAGAAATTGTTATAAAATCCCTCATTTCATGAAGTATATCATGAAGCACAGGGTAGCACGTGTATACATTAAATTTTCCAGAATTTCAGGAAATAAAACAAGCATAAATGCCTCATTTGGTTTCTTTTAAAGTATATTTAAAGTGCCAGTAAAAGCAAATCTACGTTTTGAAGGTATGCCTGGAACAGATCTGTATGCAGTGTTCTGTATAACAAATTTGAGTTAATTCTTAATGTACATATGTAATGAAATATGAATGTGCCAATTTTGAAGGTTAACTTTTTTCTTTTTTCTTCCCCTTCTCCCCCTTCCCTCACAGGTTACTGAAAATGATATTGTCATGGCGGAAAGGCTCTTTGGCATTCTGGCATATGTGACATCTTCTGAGCTGCCACATTATCGCATGCTTTCATTATTTGGAGAATCTAGGTAAAATACAGTCAACGGAACAGGAATTTGTGCAGAACGTATTGTTTAATTCTTTTGCACACTGTTGTGATAAATTCTTTCTAGGTAAAAAGATAAAAATTTCAGAAGTACAGCAGATGCATTCTTTGCTTATTTTGCATAAATATTAGCATCTCCTGATTCATGTAGACAGAGGTTTTCACAGAAATTGTATGGAATTTGCTGAGAAAGATTAAGAGGCACAAGCACACAAATGCATGGCTTGTTTAATTCTGCAGTTATACTGGTATTGGTGAAGACTTACAAACTTTCACGATGAAGTCTGACTTGTTTTAGTGGTTATTTTACAGTGGGTGACTATACCAGTTAACAAATTTGAGAGTTGGTGCTGTAAGAAAATAGGTGCTTAAAAATACTATTTTTAGTCTTCTGTAGATACGTACTTAGTAAAAGTTTAAGCTGTAAGACTTCCTGTTTAGGAGGTACAACGCGATATATGTCAAAAAGTCAATTTTACAGAAGCAAATTAACACAGGAATATCTAGAGTCAACTGTATTTTGAGTAAATTGAGGATGCAATAAACCTGAAAGCTCATAAAGTACATGTTCAAAGGGAGAAAAGAAAAAAACCCCTCCCATCACTAGAAACATCTGCCCTTAAAAAAAGCTTCCAACAATTAAAACTCTCAATCTCTTTTGTTATCTTTTCACAGGAGGAAGCAATTCCATTGTCTGCTGGACGGAAAGGGAAAGAAATCTGGGATTGGAAGTGAGGAAAGTGGTGATAACAGAAGAAATGGAGGAGAAAGCACAACTCGAGCAACACTGAATTACATGACAAAGGACTTTCATATGGAAAAGCTTGAGGTAAGTATACCCTTACAGAACGCTTTCATCCTCTATTACACAACCTTAGACTGTACTCATGGAATTTGTCTATATATCAAGTTTCAGTTGTGCTAGTGGGAATGGTGGTATTGTTGCTTACTATATTTACATGTGTGATCAAACATGTCATTTAACTGATCTTTGACAGAATACTAGATAATGATCAGTTTCTGTCTGTAGTGAAGTGGTTCCTGAATAGTGCCACAGTCTCAGAAATACATTCTGGCCTACAAGCCCTATGTTTATAATGAAACATACCTGCATTAGTAAAATACAAGAAGTGAGCGCAGTTTTTTACAAAGAAAAATGTGTATTGCACATGTTAGGATTTTCTAATGGAATTAGAAAGTCAAAAAGTATATCCCAAAATGAATTGGTGAAGAACATCTTCAGGAAAGATTTGAGATAGTGCAGGCTGTAGTAATAAAGAGCTGTTTTCTAGCTTTTAAATGAGCTACAGGAAAAGAAATCTATAGGAAATGTAATAGGTTTAATTATTAATAAAATTGCAAGCTGGCTTGTTTCAGACAAGTGCATCAGTCACGCTTATTTTAGTTCATGTTTCTGATCTGCTAACTCTTTTGCTTGGGCAGAGGGAAATTGTTCCCAGGGAAAACATGCTTCTTTCAGCCACTATCTCTTTTCTGAGAAATCAGCATGAGTTTTAGCTGTATGCACCCTGCTTCCCACATTTGTCTCATTATTTGCTTTTTGTTTATGTGGAAATATATAAATCTTCTAGTGCAGGAAATGAAATCAAGTTCAGTAAACACTGAATTCAGTTACTGCATTGTGGTTTTGTTATCTCAGATCCATAGCATAAAAAAGAGACAGTGACTGCATGTGTGGAGAGATTAAATTAAGAAAACATTTTAATTTCAAAAGCTGTGATAGTAGCTCTTAAAACTTTGAATGGCATAGAGTAAGACAGTGAGGCATTCCTCTTGTCCTTTACCATGGAACAAGCACTGTAATAAAATCAGCTTGGTATTTGTACAGACCATTAAATATATGCATTGTTTTCTCTTCCAAGTGCAGCAATTCACACTTTGTCTTTTGTTACAGCATTATGTATGTGGCAGAAGGTATTACAGGATGTCACAAAAGAAGAGTAAGATAGGCAAAAAGGGCTGATTCCGGTTCCCCATCAGCAGTAAACTAATGTAATAAATGCGATTGAATAAGTTTATTGCTAAAGAAGACAGTCTGAGGCATTGATTAATTATTTGGGTTTTTAGATGAAACAGGTGGAAAGTATTTTCTCTGCTTTATCACTCATTTAAGAAAACTTCTGTTTTGATGGCCTGAAGCATGACCTACCGTTTTGATTTATGGCACTGTTAAAACTAGTTAGATATTTAGCACCAATATAATTTATTGTTCAAAACTTATTATGACATTTTATAGAAACTCTGCAGAAACAGGGATTAATTCGGTTTGAGTGAGTAAAATGCAGAGCTAGTAGTTGCAAAAAGTGCAATATTTATTATTATTATTTCTAAAGGTTCAAGTTACTTCACTATCTACTGTAGTACATATTAGGAACCATGTACTTGCCAGAGTCCATCAGGGAACCTGTGAAAAGGATGCAAACTGGTATATTTTTCTGTGACAATATGCTTAGTTCTTGTTAGGGCAGGTAGATGAACATATACTTTCCAACTGTTACACTATAATAATGAAAAGCTGGGAAGGGAAGGGAGAGAAGGAAAGAAAGCAGCCTGGTGTTTAATAACTTCACTGCTATGCTAGAAAGCCACAAAAATCATAATGCTGTTAAAAAAGATATTTATGTTCATTAATTTATCTGAAATCCACTTTTAAGTAGTAAATAAAATTATGTATACAATAAGATTCTGTGGCCACACTCATAAAAGCTTGACTTAGACCCTGGGCTATGCAACTTAAAACCAGGGAGAAGGGGGAAAAAGTGTGCAATGGCCTTTTTGTCTGCTAATCACTATGTTCTTTAATTCATTAAATTTTTGTGGTGTTTTTTGGGGTTTGCTCATTTAACCTTTTCTTCCTTTGTCTTATACAATGTGTAATGGTTCTCCCATGCAGGAAATCAAGGAAAGAAAAACATTTTGCCAGACATACATCGAGAACTTAGTGAAAGAAGCAGCTGACATCAATATGAAAAATGAGTCGTTGCAGAAGCTCTGGCCTCAAATGTTCATTGAGCTTGTGAGAGATGCAGTGATAGAAATACGCAATAAAAATTCCTACATGAAACTCTGCTTACAGCGGATCACTGATCAAAAACAGTAGAGTCAAGGCTTGTTGTTTTGCAAGCTTTTGGTTTCAGTATTCTATTATGTTTTACAACCTTAAAACAATAGAATATAAAATTACCATCACTATGGCATACTTCACACCCCTCCCCCCCATGGGATGCCTTTAAATCTTGATTAACTCTTGATAGTTTTGAGACAAAAGTTTACTTGTGTACTGCTTTAACAATGCTTCCTTGGCTAAAGTGATGAGATAGTATAGAAGTAACTTGGGGATTGTCATGTTTTACTAAGTTCTTGTTGATTTTTTTTTTTCTGCTATCCTTGCTTCTGTAGTGCTACAGCATTGTTGGTTTTTTTCTCTTTTAAAGAAAAATTTACACTGCTTGCCTTATTTTTTATTGAACACTTTTCAGTTGTCACCTTTTTGACTGTTTGCTGCTGTTTAAAAAAAAAATCAAGAATAGTAGCTGATTTCTTTTTATGAGCAAAAGCTAATAAATCATTTTTACACCCTGAACTTGATGAAGACTTATTCTTGTTGCTTAATTCGTGACATTGTGATGGCATTGATGTGAAAACGTCAGTGCTCAGTAGAGCGACATTTGATGAGCCTAATTCTCAACTGAACAAATTGCCCAAACTGGATTTCAAGTGTTTTTCATTAATTTCATTTATATTTGCGTGAATTATTATAGGTAAAATATGAATTTGAGGTATACTGACTTAAGCTCTATTTTTGCTCTTTTAAAATATATAAATAATTTAATTTTTGAGGTTTGCCAAGGTCAAATGAGCTAAAATGCATGCGTTGCATTTGGTAAGGAAACTGATGACTACTATTCAGTTGTAATTAATTTCTGTGACTGTGTGAAAAATTGGTATTTGTTATCAATAAAAATAAATTCTTCATGTTTGCCCTTCACAGATACTGTAAAGGAGTACTGTGTGCAAAGAAAAGACTTCTCCTTAGCGCTGCATGAAGAGATGAGACACAACTTGTCCCCAAAATCAACTGTAAATGGGTAGAAAAAAACATCCCATCATATAATAACTCCCACTGTAAACACCTTGCCGGCTTCTGCCCAGAAATTGAATTTAGGAACTGTTAGCAAGTCCAGCTGATTCCCATGGTTAGTGTTCATATGCAGATAGAAAGTTGTGCTGTTTAAACTTAATTTTATACTTTCGTATCTTAACTAAAACAATCCAGAACCTTTGTGCATTCTTTTACTCAATTTAAACTCTTATTTTATTTAAGCTCATTTATTTAAAAAAAAAAAAAAAAAATTCATAACAAAAGAAATAATCCTGCAAGGGTTTCTGTGGCTCATAACTAAGTTTAAAAATAAACTTTACCTGGACAAGACAAGACTCTCTGGCAAAGCAGAGATGCCAATACAGTTCTGCAAGTTTCTATGCCCTGAAACTAGCCTTGCATGAGTAGCAGGAGTCAGGTGATCATAGGTATTTTGGTGTATGCAGTCTATTTGCCTTCAGGTCAAGCTGGTGCATCTAAGTTGTCAGAGAGAATCCATTTTCCATGCATGTTACAGGTTAACAATGACATGCATACTGCTAAATGTAGTTTTCAGTTTGGTTTATGTTATATGTGATCTTCTGAAGCATACTTGCAGGTAGTTGCTTTTCAGTCTTTACAGAATTTAATGGAGGTTAAGTCACTCAAATTCTAAGGTAATGTTAAAAGTCCTGAAGAAACTGCTCCAGTAGTTGATAGAATTTAATAGAAACAATGACCCCTCCAGGCTTTTTGAACTGCTTCATGGAATTTATAGGAAGATTAGTATTTGATAGGACTTTTTTTTTCTTTCCATTGGAAAATTGCGCTCTCAAGTCTTATGGTGCATTTTATTAAGGGAACAAATTAAGACTCCACAAAATGTGAGAAAAGGAGAGTTTACATTGTAGAAATACAATCAGTATAGAAATGAGCACACAAGTTTTTTTGATCCCTCAGTTCCTTTACATCATTTCTGTGCAAAGGGGGTGGGTGGAGCAATTCCAGCTTCTGCATAGGGACAGAAACCTCGGCAGCTGCGTGAAAGTGCAGAACTCTCCTGATGATGTAGCTGGAGCAGATGGGCCCCTTTTGAATCTGATTCAGCAGCAATAAAAGACTGGAAAAAAATGTTTTAAGAAGGGTGGATTGGTCTAGAGGAACAGGAAGTTCTCCATGGGAAAATCCAGAGAAAAGCCAGACTTTCTGATACTAAGGCTTTAGAAGCATAATCCTGATAGGAGGCTTTAAGGTAGGGTCTTGAAAAAACTAAGTGAAATGAATCAGAGGGTATTGACTGTGAGTTGTAGAAATATCTCCTTAAAATGCTCTGTATTCCCAGTGGTCTGTGAATGCTGCCAGTTTGGACTTCTTTCAGTAATAGCAGCTGTTCCATAACAGGATTGCTAAATGGCTGAAGCGAGGGTAGCTAGGCGGCTGTTATAAATGAAGAAAAGGTTAATGTTGGGCTGCATACTTTTTTTTTCACCTAGAACCAGTAGGAACAAAAAACCTTATATTTTTATTAATTTTTTTTAGGAAACAAGTGAATGATGGACTCGAGTAATGTTAGACCTAAGAGTTCATAGAATTTTAAGCAGCCAGGTGATCCTAAAATTGTTAGCATACTGTATGTTGTTTAAGTGTCTATCAAAATTATTTGTCAATTCATACAGACTTGTGGGATATAATACTGTGGTTGCTTATTACGGAATTTCTGAGCATTTAAAAATTTGATGGTGGTATAAGCAGTAAATTCTTAGATGTTCTGAAACTTAAGTACTGCTTTCTATGGTTACAGGTATTAATTGAAGAGTTAAAAAAGCCATTGATTTTGAAGCTGGGGACCTTTTAACAAAACCTTCCAGGCTGAAAGCAGTTATTTTTTCTGCTTCAAAAGCCTTTAAATGCTGCATAAAATTGAATTTTGATCCCCTTATGTAGCCTGACTTCCTGCACAGGACAGGAGCTATGGTTGTAAAAACTCCATGTTACCTAGAAATCATCTTCTTAAGGGTTAAAATGATATAGTTTTGACTTTTAAATCTTTTGAAAACTCTTCATACATTGATTTTTTTTTTTTTAATTATTTATGTAGTTTCCTTATTTTCAAGTTTCCTCTGTGTCTGGACAAAGGCAGAAAAATGATGTATCTCTCTTTTTCAGTTTAGCTGTATCATGCATGAAGGCCCCATTATGTCATGCAGAGTCACTGTTTATTATGCAACTGAAATTTGATCCTCAGTAAGGAGACTGATGAAGAGCTATATTTCATACACTCCTTTTGATACAGGATCTGAAAAAGTAATAGAGCTGCAGATACGCTGCCGCAGTGGAACAAAGGGAGAAGTGATTCACTTGATGCAAACCAAAAGCTGATCCTGTCAGTTTTGAGGGGGGAAAAAAAAAGGTACTGGGAAGAGGTTTTAACTGAGCATTGTAAAGCAAGTAAACCTGCTCTACTGCCTGGGACCAAGTGTTAGATCTGAATCTGGAAATAGCTGAAAACTTTGTTTTCTGGTCTGTGTAGATCAGTGATAGAAAAGCGAAATATCTTGTTCCGCTGCCAGAAATGGTCATACTTTTATCATGTGAACTATTTAAAATAATAATATCAACAAAAAAAAGTTAATTGGGAAAACAGACTAATTGAATATGTTTTTGTTCCCACATCACACAAACTCTGCTATATCTTGAAGTCTAATCGCAGTGAAATTATTTTTCTCTTTAGTTTAGTTTAAGTTAGAGGCATCAGCCTTTCGGGGATTTGTAAGATTTTGTTTTGTTGAATGCATGACATGCAGAACAAGGAGAGGGAAAACAGGAGACTAGCTATCAGTTTGCTCTATGCTGTGATGAAGTTGGTTTTACTCAAAAGTGAATATAAACTGATTTTTGCATACTAAAAAGTAGAGAGTGTAGGCTACAGAGACTTTAAGCAATCTTAAAAAAGGCTAATTGATATCTGCTTACATACATTACCTCAGAGCTGGATTTTTTTGAGCATGAGCTAAAAGAAATTGAATCTAAGGGACTGTTTATACAACTCAACTATCTAATTTTGTTGGCTAGCTTTACTAGGCTTCTGCTCTCAGGGGAAGAAAGATAAGCTCATCTAGAGGAACTCTTGTCTCTGTTTACTGTGGTGAAAACAGCATTTCTTTATGAGCTGTGTATTGGACCTCATATGCCATACTTGTGTACAGATGGGGTGGACAAATGCTTCTACTTCTTGGATCAAATGTCAGGAAACCCTGATGAAGAATTAAAAAGTCTTAATGGGGGGAAAAACTGACTCTTTTCTGAGTTGTTTGGTTTTGGTGGGATTTTTCAGTTATGGGTAGAAGTATTGCAAGCACAAACATACTTGACTGATATAAGCACAGTGAGTGTGTAAAAAAAAAAACAAAAACAAAAAACCAAAAAACCCCCCCCCAAAAAAAAAAAACCCAAAAGCCCAAAAAAACCAAAAAGCATACACATACCCCTCCCAAAAAAACCCAACGCACCAAAAAACTAGAAAATTCCAGGTTAGAATATTTATACCAAATCCAGCAGTAGAAGTATCCAACATCCCCAAGAAATGTGTTTGTATAAGACAACCCTATATTCCTTACTACTGACCACATTGACCTGAGGAGGCCCTTATAAGTAACTTTTATCCAACTTCAATACAAACTGATGGCTTCATGATTGCTCTGGAGTTTGGTTGATTAGTACAGTATAAAAATAACATAAGACAGCAGGATCAGATTTCTTGGTGCTGTAATCTGTTGGTTAACAGGATGACGATGCTTAATCCCAGTCTTCCTAATTAGGCAGCCACTCCCATATTAAGGAAATTACTGTGTGTGATCTTCATTCTTATTATATAGTGCATGGCATCTAGTATGTTTCTTCATCCATAAATGGGATTCTTTCTAGTTTCAGACAAACTATTCCTTCTGCTTTTGTTTGACTAATATGGATATCCCAGAGTTTAAATGCTGCTATTAGCAGTACTTCATTTTACACCTAAC